AATGGTGGAAGCAGGCTGGGGAGGGGGGTCGTTGGAAGAGGAAGCAACCAAGGCTGAAGTAGTTGAAGAAAGAGAGGCCGGGGGAGCAGTGTTTTGAAGCTGTACTTCATGAAGAAACAGCATAGATCGCGCTTCAACAAAGGTTGGCAGCGGCACTTTGTAGCTTATGGTGGTTGAGACAGATTAGTAGTCGGAGGGAAGGCCAGAAAGAATCTGAAGAGCTAAATCAGTTTCTGAGATTGGACAACCAACCGCCGTCAAGGAACCGGCATAGGTTTTGAGTTTGGTGACATATTCGTTGATAGATAAGTCAACTTTCTTGAGACTATGAAACTGAAGTTTTAATTGAAGAAGGCGCGAGCCAAGATGATCGTGAAACAGTTTTTCAATTGTTAACCAGGCATCACGAGCAGTGAGATTGGAGTTGGGTTTGATGATTGCTTGCAAGATTATTAGGAGCGGAGGAAGAAGATCCGTCCGCGGCAGGAAGAGTCGGCGGTGGACAAACAGAGGTGCCGTCGATATGGCCCATAACTCCGTGATTGTGAAAAACAGGAAGGAATAGCTCCTTCGAGAGCATGTAATTGGTGAAGTCAAGAACAGGATTGACATAGTTCTTGATATTTGTGAGGCCGGCGGCTGGATGAGACAAGGGTAGAGCTACGGAGTTGGAAGAAGAGGAGTTGGACACCGGAGTTACAGTCACAGTTTCGGTCACAGGTTCATTGATGACCGAGGAATCAGTAGAGCAGGCCATGGAATACAAAGAAACACAAACCAAAAAAAAAGAAAATTGATTAAAGAAGCAGCTTCGGCAATTGATTAAAAAACAGAAAAGATTTTTTTTAAAAAAAAAAAAAGAAGCAGTCGTAGCAAGTTCGGTCGAAGAAGAAGCAGGAGGATCGAATTACTATGTTTAATCGATCAGAACGGTGAACTGACGCACAACCGAGAGAAGGCCGAAACTATCAACCAGAAAATTAGAAAATCAGAAAGCTACACTACGTGACGAGAGCAGAAGCATGCTAATCACACAACGGAAGAGAAGATCAGAAAAGCTACGTTAACCGACAGCAAGCAGAACCAGAAGGAATCGGAGAGGAGACATGAAACTGAAACTAAAGGCGCAAAACAGAGAGGGGACGCAACAGGGAGCAGAAACCGAATCCAAAACCAAACCCGAAGCAAGCAGAACGGGAAATTTGATGAAGACAGAACCCGGAGAAGAGTGAAAACTGACCGTAAATTGTGTGTTTGATTTGAAAAGTAAGAAGAAGGAGGAGTGGCAATCGTAAAAGAGGCAGCGGTGGAAACCCTAAAGGTTGAAAAGCCAGGAGGGAACGGCTGATACCATGAAAGGATTAATTTGTCTGTGTATTCATGTATATGTAGTACAATATATATAGTCATGATTTACGTAAACCCTAGCTGTCTACAGACACCCTATTTAGGGTTACCTAAAATACACATCCTATCAAACATTAATGAAGTAATTTTCAATTTCTCACAGGATGGGTGTAGTATGAACTGTGAATGTTCTGCTTCTTTAGCCAACAATCTAGTCAAGTAATCCATGGTTAGTACAAACAGCAGAGGGGATAATGGATCTCCTTACCTAAGACCTCTTTCCCTTTTAAAGAAGCCAGTGCTTTCTCCATTTAGATTCAAAGAATATGTACAGGTGGTTACATATTCCATGATCCAACTAGTGAACTTTGATGGAAATCTATATTCTTTTAGCATTTCTTCTATAAAACTCCAATGGATAGAATCAAATGCTTTTTTCAAGTCCACTTTCATCATGCAACTAGGCTTGGCATTCTGTCTATTATTTAACCTTATCAACTCTTGGGCCAGGAGGATGTTACGTAATATAAGCCTCTTTTTCACAAAAGCTCCCTGATTCTGGTTTACTAAATCTAGCAATACCATACTGAACTTTTCACATATCATTTTTGAAATGTATATATTGCTCAGTTATCTCCTTCTCCTCCTTCTGAAGATCTTCTGATGAAGAATTTAGTATCAATTGCCTCTGAAAATTAGATCCTTTTTGTACACAAATTAATATATATGACAATAGCTGCTTCTTGAATGTTACTGATTAAGGATTGTTTTCCTCATCTCACGGCTACCTTTTTCTACAAGACGCATTTATTCAAACGACGAGTTTGATTGTTGAGAATAAGAATTTTGTGCAGATAATATTATTTTTTGTGGTATATTTACGCACACGGTATAAGTGATCCGAATCCGAATTTTCTGAAGGCAAAATTTTTCTTCTATGTATCACCTCTAGTATAGGCACGACAGTTGGGCAGACAATTTATTTGTCAATTGAAAAACAATTTAAGGTTAAATGTCTTCGTCAATCCAACGATTTGATGGCTGCTCAATGGCGATTTAACTTTTCTTTTCGATGCAATACTATATTAATCTAATATATTCCTTTCGTTTCAAAACTAAAATTTTAATTGTTAATGATTTTAATGCAGGTGATAATGACTCTCATTTTTCGGATGGAGAGAGTCGAGTGAGATGTTTTGGGGTTCCAAAAACTTGAATCTGTATTTCCTAACGAACCTTTTTTCATTTTGTTGTTTATCTTTTGACTAGCTCTTCATGAAACTGATTGATCTGAAACTTCATTTCGTTAGTATTGCAACTAAAGTTGCTATCAATTAATTTTTTAAAAACATAAATACGACCAATTCAGATGCATTAATTTATTATTAGAAGATTTAGAAGTATGACACGAATAGGTTGTAGCATAGGGTCGTTACAACAAACAGTTATTTGCCTTTTCTTTTGTTATACAAGAGATATTTTAAGCTCTTTATTTTTCTCTTTCTCTTCCCTGATTTTTCCCCTATATTGAAGAGCACTTTAGAATTTTATAGATAAGAAAACAACTAACGTTTTGATGTTCTCATTGTTGTCTGGAGGGAAAATCAAATAATTTGGAAACCTTATTATTGGTTGATCTCTCGAAAACTACGTAGAAACCCACCAATTCTCTTACCTATGGATGTAAGGTGCTACCTTAACAAAAGTCTTTGATCAAAAAATGCTTAAAAATTCAACTCGTCCAGCATATGAACATTATCAAACAATCATTAATTCCTAAACAAGAGAAAAGTTAATCATTCTTGCCGCGCATATATATTGTATAGCTAGATTATTTTAAGGTTTAATATAGGTGTCTTCAAGAGGAAAAAAAACTAAAATTATATTCCCAGGTTTGGTTCTTGCTATAAATTTACTTGGTACATCAATAAATAATCAAAAGAACATCTATAATGGTGGTAAATAATTAGTAAATAATCAATTTATTATATTATTTATTATTATGTTGAGTATAATAATATTATACAGTGTAAAAATTCTTACACGGTATAATACACTTTTTGGGATTAAAAAATAATTAATATGAATTTATGATGATACTACAACTATTTTATTTTATTACACTTTTACAGTGTAAACCACTGTAATGAAAAGTTGAATAGAAGTATAATATTAAAAATTTATGACATTATACTCACAACAGTGTAAAACCATTATGAATGCTCTAAGGTTGTTAGGGAGTTGGCAAGCTGACGATCGTCAACTTTTACGCCAACGATCTTCCATCGACGGTTAGATCTACGACAGCTCTGTCACCTTTCATGTTGACAGATTCACGGCCCCAAAACAAGGGAAGGGATAATGAGAAACGATAAACCTTTAGTAGTTGCGTCTGATGATGATGACAGGAGGACACTGTTGGTACTGAGATGATTGGGAGCAGAAGGAATTGAGCATCTATATAGGAGTTGAGCATAGTGATTTAACACCAACAGTCGTGATGCTTTGGTTGTAGGACGAAGTAGCAGTTGAACAGTGTTAATTTGGGGGCAAGGTGGCGACGCTTCGGTTCATGATGGAACAACCGATTAGGGAGCGGAACTTCGGTGAGAAAAAAAGGAAAAAAAACACGTGTAAATCACATGGGTCAACCAAAAATTTGATTTGTGAGTGTAAAAATCAAAATTGGTATTGGGGGTTTTATATATATACTTAATAATAAGTAACTTTACCGTCAAAACAGAAAGAATCAGTTAAGTTAATTATTCGTTTCAAAACAAAAAGAATCATTTAAGTTAATTATTCTATTTTAATTATTTGTAGCCAATGTGCATTATTAATCCGCCAATCCAACACCCATAATGATCCTGTAATTAATTGATTGACTTTAGTTTCTTTTTCTTCTTCTTTATTTTATATATATATATATAGGTATATTGACTTTGATACAGTCAAAGAATAGGACTGGTTCTCTTGTTTCCGAGTATTTGTCATGCGGAAACTAGAAAGTCAATTTCTCTTTTAATGATGGTATGAAAATTATTATACCTTCGGGAAACTTGTTTACTTGTACAAACAAATGAATTCATTTTGACGGGTGTTAAATGGTTCTAACAAATTGAAGAGAATAACGAGGTAAACCATATTAGCACAGCATTGTATTTCATGTGGATGCTATAGCACAATAAACTATATTAGCTCGCAAGTTATTAAAAGAATAGCCCACAACATGTGAAGGTAGATAATACAATTATGATCTAACACGTATGATCTTCTTATTATTCTCAAGATTTGCTGCATGTCGATTCAGGGGAACAAGAAGAAGACATCTTAGCAATAGAGTTAAAGAATTAGAATTTATCTTTTTCTTCCTGTTAGAATCTTTATCATACGTACTAGACAAAGTATGTAGGTAAAAATTTATGTAAATACATTTTATCCACAATGAGGTACGCTTATCTTACAATAGAAAAATTAAATATCATCACCATGTGATAACCCCAAGAAACTTCTTAAGGCTGTAAATTTGCATCTATGAGTATCGTTTTCCAACAATAAATATCGCACGAGAAAAACAAAACAGCCCTAAATGAAAAGGAACCATAGCTACAATTTTTAAAAGTTATCACTCCTTTCCTATAGAAAAATAGTTCGCCTTGTTATTATTTTAATCCAATAGAATTTTTATTTTTTTCCGCATTTAGGGAGTATTTATTTGAAATACATAACGTTAGATATTAGAAAAAAAGGATGAAATTCTAAAATAATAATTTTCTTATATTATTTTATAACCGGAATCTGAGCACAGTTTTATTTGGATTTTGGATTATCGAAGAAGATAACTCCAAAGGAAATTATTTTTATTGTGCCTAAATTAAGATTGTTTTTAGCCAAGAATAGTGCAGCTTAGCAATAGAGATTAGGACCGGGATTAACACCGAGTTGGTTACAATAATCAGTATAATACCCAACCCTAGCATTAACAGCAGCTGTATTTCCACCACTACATTCGATCGCACCGTTAATTGCCTGGATTGTAGCCCCAAATCCTTGAGAATTGATGACGGAATGGCAATTATTCATCCAAAACCACAACCCAGTTTTGAATGAAATCACATTGTCTTGTGCCACAATACCTGGATTCCCTAAACCATCGAAACCAATACTGTTTCCAGCTGGACCATAGTTGAAATTCCATGATAGTTGGAGAGGACCTCTTCCATAGTAACCCTGCCCTTGTACACATGGATATTGAGTATTTGTTTCGTCACAATAATCCCTTGTGGCACCATTTATCTCATTTATGTAGCAAAAATCTACAAGAAATTTCGAAGTAAATCAGTTAGCTAGGGTTATAAACGTTTTATTTTTTATTTTTTTTATTTTTTTATTTTTTTTTTGGGAAAAAGAACATAAAGAAATAATGAAGCGAAGCTTACGTCCAGTCTCATGAGTGGCATGAGCAAAGAAAGCAGCAATTTCCCTCTTAGCATCATCGGAAGAACCAGTGGTTCCAAATCCAGGATACGAATTGGCGGCGTTAAGAAACGCGGATCGAGTGTAGAACCCTTTTCCCTCGCAGCTCGAATCGGCTTGGTTCGCAATCCCGTTGAAGAAAGGATCAGTCACTATATCAGCAACACCAGAACCACCACCACCTGATGAGTAACAAGGACCCTCCTGACAGCCGTCGCCGCAGTAGTCGTTTCCGGTGCCACAGTAGCCGTACTGGCTGCAGCACAGGCCATTGCAACCACAGTTTTGGCCGGAAATGAGTTGTGGGAATGAACCCACCACCACAAGAAGTAAGATGGAGAAAACGAAAACTAAGGAACTATTTTTGGCTACCATTTTTACTTTTTTCCCTTTTTTTGGAATTTGATTAGGATTTATCTCTGTGAATTGAAATGGAGCATAACTGCATAAGGGATTATTTATAGTGTTGTTAGAAGGTTCAGTTGAATAAGTAAGTACGTACCTCATTGAATTGTTGTTTCGCTGATCTCAATGAATAAAGTCAGTAGACATTTTGAGTTTGTCTTGTGAATAAAAAGGACTATTAACTAGGGGTATTGATTCACGAGGACTTAGTTAATTAGAAGTTTGGTCCTGGAGCTATTACTATTAGGTCGAAAATGGCAAAGCATAGATAAAAACACGTGTATAGACAGATAAATTGCCTCAACTGCGTAAATATTTATAATAACAAGGCATTTTTGGTTACAACCAAGTATAGGGAGGGTTGAAGCAAGATAAACATAAGGATATAACATGTCTTTGAAATGTTCTCTTCGAAAAAAAAAATCAAAGACAACAATATCACTGTTTGGTGATATTTATCAATTATTATCATATCAAAAGGGTTTCGAGGCAATTGAGATTAATCCAATGCGACATTTACCCGATGAGCACATCAACTAGAAGTTTATGTTAAGAAAAAAAATACTCGGCCTGTTTCCAAAAATAAAAAATAAAAAAACCCATGTTAAAGTTCAAAATTTGTACTAGTGGATTATTTCTTTGAAACGGACGGAGTACTTCATATGTCTTCAAATAATTTTTTTTATTTTTATTTTAATATAATTCGTACTAAAAGTAAAGTTCTAAGCAGAATAAATTTTCGAAATGGAGTAAAGTACTTAATTTTGGAGAATAGAGTGGATCGTGTATGGTGAAACTAAGTCAATTCCTTAATAATTATGATATGGACTACATGGCATACCTTCGGGAAGCCAGTTTACTTTTGGAACCAAATTAGTACATTTTGATTAGGTCTTAGAAGAAGAATGAGGTACCGGCTGCGCACAAGTCACTAATCAATCCAATGGCTCTAAAATTCTGAGTTTTGGTCACATTCAAATCTAGGGGGAACGAACGAGGGTTCGGGATTTGATTTCGACCATCCATATCAGAACATCAAATAAAGAAAGGTATACATTAGAGGCCTACGTATGGAGTTTCTCTCCATTAATTGTCCCCACTTCATCACACTTTCGTATAATAGATTAGATATTTCAAAAAAATTATGCAATCACATGGTTTGCACCCTCAAAAAAAATAATAATAGATAAATAAATAAATAAGAATCATATCCATAAACTACTTTGAGGTTGTTAAAAATGTGTGAATCTTCAGTACAATGGTTACATCGTGTCAGTTATACAACCTGATATACTTGATATAATTGAAGGAAGAATATTAATTTTATGAGTGAGAGAGAAAAAAAAAATATAGAACCCAAAAAGTACTAAAATTAAAAATATCATATATGTTGTATATTAGATTTTTTCTTTTGGGACATATTAAGAAACTCAATTATCGTGTCCAAGCTAGTTTTACTTCTAATTATGCCCCTTATTCGATGTTATATTTTTCGTCTCAAAATTATTGTTGAATTTGTATTCTCATTTTTAATTTTAAATTTTAAATTACATATTTTTAAAGTAAAAATTCAAATGAAAAATTATTTTAACACATATAGAGTAGTACATTTATTAGGCCCTTTGTCTGGTTTCTATCTTTTCTAAAGATCTATATATAGACGATCCTTTGACTGTGAAAAATAAAGCTTTTGCGAAGATGAGTTTTACACAAGAGAAAGATACCGTACGGCAATAACAAAACAAACATATTGTTTTTCTTTTTTCGAAAAGAGACAAACAATAATGAGTTCTAAAAGTTAGGCCAGATAATTTGTCAAATGAAAAACCTTAATGCGTGAGGTCTCATCTATTCAATATTTCCATGGCTGCTCATCAAATAGCCTCATCTTTCTTTTGCGGACCACATTGCTATAAGATAAGCCGGTAATTAGTATTCTTTTCTGTCCACAAAGTATTACTGATAATGTTTTTCGGTTCCAAAAAAGAAAAAAAAAATTCACATTATAATTTGTGATTTGCAGACAAAGAAAGTATCATGTTAATTAGTTTTTTTTTTCTTTTACAAGAACCAACTTACAAGTACCTAAACTATTACATAGGTAGGGTTTATAAGAAAGGGATACTACTACGAGAAAACTTCACGCGTGCATGTCCAATCTACTTATCCACCTTTGAAAGCGTTTTCTTTGGCTAATTTTCAGCCTCCTACCCTATAGGAAAGCATAGAAAGCGATAAATCGCTGTCGTGAGGTTCGAACGTCGCTACTGTAGGGTTCGACCCATATCACCGCAAATTAGTATCAGAGCCCTTACCACTTGGGCCAACCCCTCGTTAACATGTTAATTAGTTCAATAATGAATAAACCTAAACTTTTTTTTATGACGCGATAGCTAAACATATTCGACCATGAAGAGTTGTCCAACGTTAAAACTTAATTATTTATTTGATTTTCCTAACAATTTAATTACAACAAGCCAGCTGTGTCACATGTTGTTTGGTTGACTAGCTTCCTAAAACCTAGATGATGGATAGTGATTCTTTTATTGCAGGAAATGATTCTAGAAAATTCAAGGGAGAGTCTGGTTTACAAACTTTGTTGATGAACAAGAAACAAAAGAATGTACATCATCAAGATACTGGATAAGCATCTGTCATCTTCTCTATTTCGAAAACTCTGTGAATTGAGGACTTATCATATTGACAAGCAATCTCTTCTATTGAAGAACTAGTTTCTGATCTGGAAATCAATCCCATCAACCTCTATGAATATTAGCTTAATTAGCTCAAAAGAGGATGTAGCAATATTTGTACACGGCCCTTTTAAGGTTAGGTATTAAACATTTTTGGACAGAAAGATACTTTCTTTTGTAAGAAATTTGGTAGTTTTGAATGACTACCAACCAAAAAAAGGAAAAAAAAAAAAAAAAAAAAAGAAGCAATATGTAGTGGCTCGATGTTTTGACATAGGTGCATATATAGCTAAATCTGATAAAACCCTAAATAAGTTCTTTTTCTCTATTTAAAGGTTGTTAGAAACGTATTTAGAAACTGAATTATTATTGTCGTAATTTTAATTCTAATTATGCTGCTTCTTCGATGTTATTACATTTATTAAGGCTCTTCGTCCCATTGTCGATATATCTTTTCTAAAGAACTATTTGTTCGGAAGAGGTCATTTGACGGTGACAAAATAAAGTTTTGTGTAGATTTTCACCGAGCAGAAGAGAGATACAGCAAAAACAAAACAAATAATAATGGGTTCTTTTAGAAGTTAGGCCAGATAATTTGTCAATTGAAAAAGCTTAGTGATCTAGATCTCTCCATCAATTCAATATTCCAATGGCTGCTCATCAAACCTCTCATCCTAGCTCTATGATGATCATGGAAACTCACTTCTCATTACTATAAGTGAACAGAATGAAGTATGTATCGCATTCTAGTTAAAATTTGAAATCACCATGCTTCCTGATATTACATTACTTTGCAAAACCGGTGGTTCACTACAGCAGCAACTATTCTACTCTGCCAAAACCTGCTGCCACTCAAAACTGGCAAGGCCACCCGAAAAACTTTTCTCTCCTCATCTTGTCATCATATGCCTATATCGCACACCATTTCTGTGTTTTTCCTTGGACATTTATGACATGATACATCATCCTTCGTGTCCCCATCACTTCGTTGGCTTTTTCCATCAACAGGATGAACCATACACCGCATTGCTAAGTTTGCTCGCCCTTGTACCCAGACGCCTTCCCCGTTCTGCCCATTAGAAACGGCTGTGGGGAAGCATCATTGCCATTAATTTCAAGACCTTGAAATGATCGACCTACAAAAAACTCTGCACCGGACCGAGCATTTTTCCCTTTAGATAATTGGGTGTCCTTATTCTGCAGTTGCAGAGCCTTCTCTGTTACATTTACCAAAGAATGAACTGCATCTGTTTCCTCATCAACGTCTGCTACAAAAGGAGAATAAAAACAACATCAGAGATATAAACTTATTTTAATGGTGACAACAAGCTTTTTCAGCATGCAATTCTAAAAATAACAATTTAATAAAGGAGAAGGTGGATAGAATGGCCTTTTAATTCATTCATGAGTGAGAAGCTTAAGAATGTGGAAGAGAGAAACTAAACCAATAATTTCAGCAGAAAAGTTAAACAGCTTAATCCTCCGTTCATTTTTGGATTTGAACACCCAATCAAAATTTCAGAGACATGGCATCAGTATTCCCTGCTCACCCAAAATCAAATCTCAATTCAATCAGCCATCTCAGGAAATCCTCTAGGTGTCTAGAAAATTCACTTTCTTAAAAAGAACAATATCACCAATCAAAACTAACACACAAAAGGCAAATATTTTCTTCTTCATCCACAGAACCCACTAGTAAACAGGATGCTTGACAACACGGCTTCCCCTACCTGTTCAAACCGCACTGAATAAACTAATAACCCCATAATTTTAACGATTCCATAAGCTTTTAGTACTATATATTCACCCCAAATTCCCTGGACTGAATTCCATTTAGAATCAAAACAAGACCCCACGAGACCGTACTGTTAAGTATATCTTCTACCACTAAAAGCCAGTAAGATAGGATGATGAGATCTGTCCCACTTTTCCAAATATAGGTGAGCATAAACTGCAACAATGACTAGAACATTATTAACCATGAAGCAATAAACATAAATCCCCAGAAAAGGAAGATACCTCGTAAATCATAGTCTTCAACATAACCACCCTGAAGGAAGGAAAATCGTGCTTCGGGTGCTTGACCTACTTCCACAGGACAGGAAGCTATCAGATTTTGGAATTCCATCTGATATGCTCCAGTCCACTGGCTTCCCCTACAAATTGATCAAAAAAATTTTGATCAGAAATCTATCAAAGGAGAGATCAACAATAGACAATATCACCAAATTTTTAAACCATGAACAGGTAAGTCTAGCTGGAATACCCAAAGCATCTATTTAATTATTTCGATTCAGAACCTTCAGTTCAAGTATAGAAGGAAATTCCAAAAGACAATTTCAGTTTCGAGAGCACAAAAGGAGGCAGAAGCACAGTCTGAAAGTCGAACAGCATATAAAAAAATCAGAATGATTTTCTCAACCAAGCAGGGGCTACATTTTTGGACATTAGTAGTTAGTACACTTTTGAGCATGTACAGAACTTCAACTGATGAGGAAAGTTTAGAGGAAACAAATTAGCAATACCTCCAAGTAAAGAGATTTTTCTTTAACTCCAAATTACCCTTTTCATGCATTCAGATAAATGAAGATAGAGAAACAACAGAATTTTCAAACACGAAAATACATACAGCTAGTTTAGTTTGGCAACTAATACATTTGCATAAAAGCATAGAGGACTCGAAAAAGTAACAAAGTAAACCTAGGACAAGGCTAACTTGAAAGGAAAGACAAAATGTTGTATTAAAAAAATAATTTAGTGAAAATTAAAAGAAACTAAGAAAGGCAGTACCTGTTGAAAGCTAGCATAGCTTCAAATGGAGTAATTATAGGAGCAAGAAACTCCTTGCTATCCAACAGAGCTGTTTGCGCACAGGAGACATATATGAAAACATCGCACTGTTTTTAAGTAAAAGGCATCAGAACATCTTAACAGCTAAAACTTATCAGTTATCTGCTAAAGAAACATTTTTACCTCAGGAAAATTAGCTAGCTTTGCAGGGTTAGGCCTGCCCATTACAAGGGTATAGGCCTTCTTTTCTGCTCTTGTTACCAAATCGGTCATCTGATGAATCATATCAAGATAGCCAGCTGCATCAATAGGTTCACCAGAGAAGGTTCAATGGACTGTAATAATATACTTAGGTGTTTTAGCAAAAAGCCCGTCATAACAGGCTGTCAGGTACATGAAAAATATATTTGCTTCCTTACCATCTGGATAAACACATTCTGCTAACAAATTGAGAATGTGTCTACATATGTCACGAAAGATTTAGCTTAATATAATAACTAGAGACGGCAAACATTCTTTCGCTCGAGAAGACTCCATCACAAAGTCCAAAATTAGAAACTCAAGATTTGAAATAAAACAAAATATCAAAGCACAAACATACAGAAAACCTATGAATTTAGATATGTGAACATCCTCTAATGGACCCAAGGAGATATGCAAACTGTGAGCCACTAGATTGACAATTCATCTGTGTACTGGAACTAAAATGATTGGCTCAAAATCAGTATTGGTAAACAATAACACAAAACTCTGGCCATTATAAGCCATTTACGTCGGGGACAATGCACTAATAAAACGAAAACCACAGTTTGACTAAAGAAATTGTTGAGAAATGACGTATTTTCATGACACATTAAAACAGCTATAACAACTAAAAACGTTCAAAGCCATACGATCAAACCTTGTGGAAAACTAATACAAATACAGCTACAAATAGCATAATCTAAAACAATTTTACTTGGGCCACAAATGAACAAAAAACAAATATCCATAATTAACTGCCCAGAGATTCACCAAGACACAGTTTGGCAAAGGTGCGACTGCAGATTGTGTTAACAATTTATAGTTAAGAAAGATATGTGTCGACTTAAATTGTTATTATCTATGACGTTTATATACAATAAATAGCTAATTTACCATAGTTTGGTCAAAATCATCATCCACCTACAAAGTTAGGATTACATTGAATTAATTATTTACTTACAGAATGATAAATTTCAATTTTCTCAACAGATTATTTACTAAACTTCTCAGTTTAGTAAATATATTAAGAAGTTAGTATTGTACTTGGGGATTGGGATCTTTATGGTAAACATTTATCTTACTAGTTTAAGTTGACATTACAAGTCAGGATTAAAACTATGACCAGTACTAGTACCAGAGGAAGATGAACTTTGTGAACCCGTAGGATTTCATGATTCAATCACTGTCATAATTATGAGGATGATGATGAACATTTTTGGATATGAAAACCTGCAACCTCATCAATATTTTCACAGTATAAACAAGCACACCAGACACTAATAAAATTTCATTACTCATTTAAGGGGTGGAGTAGCATGGAGGAAGATTGGTGGTGGTAGGTAGTGGAGAATAAATCAACATAAAGTAACCAGGGTTTGAGATAAGAATGGTGATGACAAAACCAACTAGTTATACTCTGGGGTGGGCAGCCTCTATTATTGCTAGCAAAAAACAGTCATGAGATTACTAATCTACAGCTAAAACAACACGTGGTCATTAAGAATTTGCACTAAAACTTACCTACTCCAAGAGTTCCAACCAAGATCCCAACCATGTTTGCATCCTTGGCTTTTTCAACCAAATAATATCTGCAATAATATCATAGACGAATTTCATAAAAGTAATTACATTTACTACGCGAAACAGCAATTTTAGCAAGCAGAATGGAAGTATATAGCAGTAGGATTATACAATTTTCAACCAGACACAATGGACTTACCTACGTTTCAGAATTCTTGACTGTTGCATCACATCAGCCATCAAAAAACCTTCATTTGCATCATATCTGACTAGAAACACAAGAAAGACTATCAAAACCAGAACATAAATTGTGGATGCTTCAGATAAAGGGCAACAGAAACAAACAAATTCAACATTAATGCAACTAGATGTGATGAGAACAAAAGATTGGATTTTTCTGTAAAGAAACGATGAGGTAAGAAGTGATTGAGCACCCTACTTCATCCCTTCAAAGTTTTTCTTGTCTCTCTGTTAAACCCATAGCAAATTCCATCATTTCCTTTTCCCTCAAAAATTTCCACATCTCCTACTTTTGGGTTCCCCATGAAAATCTCTAAATCCAGGATGTTTAATGTTCTTAAGAATTATTAAAAGAACAACTAAGTTTCTATCTCACTCCGTGTCTCCTCTAAAGCCAGGAGCATTCCTATAAGTTTGTAACATGTATTATAACAACAATATTCTAGAGGGAAATCAGGGACACGTGTTAGAAATCATGTAAGATACGAATCAGATAAACTAAATCTAGGGAGTTGGGATAAATATCGAGTCAGCCTCTCTTCCTTTGTGGTGTCTCAAAATGGCTAAACAGAAAATTACTTGAAAGTCAACCTGAAGTAGAATGTAAAGAAGCCAGATCTATGAAATGAGGCTACAATCCTCCACTTGGCTTTCTCGGAAAATATTGAAAGAAACCCCATTTGATTATTGAATCGATAGGACAAGAAAGATTCCCAAAGTTCAAGTATAATGCAAAGTCTCTAGTTTTGTCCCACATTCCAAAAGAAACAACACAAATGGTATTAAACCCCGAGCAAGGAGGGCAGGACACAAAATAAACAGTAGAATAGATAGATAAGTCTTACCAGTTTCAGAACTGTTAAATGTTAATATTACATTTGTGAAAGCTGAGTTGTCTGCACCAATCCAAAAGAGAAGGTAGTCCTCCATTTTGTGTCCCGCAGGTAGACTCCAAGACAAACCACCTATCCTGTGGTCTTCTTTGTGATCCTGGTTGTAACTAAATCCGAGAAGTTCATCGGTCTGTTTCTTAGATGCTAAGGGATATATAACTGAACTTCTTACATCAGCAAAAAGTACACCAGACACTGATATGGAGTCCTGATGGCTTGATGCTTCCACATTAACAGCCTTTTTTATATCTGGAATGGCATGAGCATATTCAAGGCCAAATAAAACCTGCAAACAATCAAGAAAATCTCCCATAAGCACATGCAAGAATACCTGCAGTGCGGCACTAAGAATATTTGACTCTCATTCATGGATACAAAATTCGTACATATGTCGAAGGCAAAGTTGGATTTATTAAATATAGAAATACAACTCTATTTTTTTGCTACAGAAGAAACTTTATGAACAGGATTAATGTTATGGGACAGCGTGAGTAAAAGTTTTGCACCAAAATATCACCTAATGAACCTATAACTTGGGTTCAAAACACATTATAAGAAAAACAACACCAAAAAACAAAAACGAAACAGAAACAGAAACAGAAACCTAAACCAGGTTTTTGCTCTAGTAGCAAGAGCAACTATCTTCATCAAAATGATTGCTGAAGAAAACAAAGAAATACAGAAGTGCCAGAGATGATTCAGAAGACCTTTTACTATGGAGAAAGGGACGCACTTAAGCACATTGCAGATGCTTGAGAGGACTCCCTATGATTCCATTCCAGTTATGAAACCACAGTTTAAACCTCGCTACGAGGCGGCATTTCCCACTTTTGGATTTTCAGTCTAAGCAGGATGATATATTTTGCATTGTAAATGATTATTGATTAAGGGCTTGCAAGAAAAAGCACTTTGAATTGCTGAATAATCATTAGTCTGAGGACAGAAACTAAGTTACCACTCACAACCAACGTAACCAGCTACCTAAACAATACAGAATCAAAAAAGAACTATTTTGAGAACTAAAGATTATAAAGAACTTGTGGGTTGATACACAAAGAACATGATTACGTTTCAGGTGCATTTTCTCGAGGGTTGCAAGATTTAATTAACAGGCATAGATTATGTAAAGAAGAAACAAAATGAAAAAATAAAGATAACCTTTTTTTCCATCACCCGACATGTTTCTCATTTACAAAACCAAGAATAGAAGGCAATTCACACAAACCTTAATTTAGATCAGTCAAGCTTTCACGTAATATACAACCAAGCAACATCAGTTCTTCTATCCATTTTTTAAACCACATCCCCTCCTAGGCAGGAGTTCTCTTTCTTAATTGTGCTTCTATATAAGTTTATTGGCTATACATTGACTTATCTTTGAGTTTTAATGGCACCATTGAAAAACATTCTTCAACGTGACTAAAACGGAAAACCTAGAACGAGACATAAAGAAAAATAACACCAGAACTGAACCTTGAGCCTATGACATAAGATTTCATAGATAATGCTAGAACTACAATGGAAGAAGTCTATCACCGTTGAATAAAAAAACCCATCAAAAAGAATAAAAATTTAAACAAGCACAATGGAATGTGGACCGATCAACAACACCACTTTTCACATACCAGAACAGGCTTGCCACTTTTCATTGCTTGCTTGGTTATATTTTCAGCACAATGAGATGCCCTAACTGGAGCCTTTCCAAACACACAGAAAGCTGGAATTGTAGTGGTCCTGCCAATTAACAACAATAAAAATATATGATCCGAGAACTTGCACTGGAATTCAAGGACAACTCACATCATTCGGTATCTTGAAGCTATCTATATGCAGAGATGAGAGATGACACCCCTAGGTTTTGTTTTCCTATCTAAATTTCACAATGTCAAAAGAATGATGTACAATTTAGTGGTCTAAAATACTACTAGAAACACGAAATGACACAATACGAATTGCCATCTATTAACCCATTGTGTGTACCCATAGGATCGTATGTAACTTGCTTTAAAAGGTTGGTTTCCCCTGGTTTTAGTTTACTAAATTCTTAAACTGTAACAGTTACAGGACAAGAAAAACGAACTTTATTTCCATTTCCGCTAGCTCAACTCCACAGAAACTCAAACGCTCTGCCCCAATGGTTAAAAAACACAACAAAAAAATATCAAAAATTGGTAAGAAAACTCACGGGCTGAGGCAAGTGTGGCCATAATGAATGACGCAATCGGCTTTAACATGAGCAGCTCCCACCTCATCAACGCAACAGCTGCCGTAAGTGGTGTCAGCCATGACGTAGAGCTTGGCTGGGGTTGACCCATCAGAATCAAGGTGGAGTTGATGAAGCTTCTGCCTCAAAGCACGCAAAACCTTGCTAGAATCTTTCAGCAAATGGTCCGGAAACTAGTTCGGAATAAAAAATAATAAAAAATCACAAAGCAAGGAAAGAATTAATGTCAGTGAAACAACCTGATTTCGACTGAATTCTTAAAAACACGAAAAGGAAAATTGAGAACTGAGGGATGAATGGAGAAACCTGCAATGCAATTCTGGTGAAGTTATTAGTGCGGATGAAGTCGGCAACACGGTCAATTTCGTAGTAATTTTCCAGGTCCATGGCTACCGGAGGAGACTAGGAGGAGGCGGGAGACGGACGGGAAAGAAAAAGGAGAAATATAATGGTAGTAAAGGAATAAGGGGGAAATAAAATTATTTGGGGGGTAAATATTAGAATTTTCCGAATGTTTTTATGGGGGGTGGGGGTTGCGTAAAACTATAAATGCCTTTTCTATTTCCCTATTGTATCACTACATGCCTTTTTCTTATAAATAACTATTAAATTCTATTTCTCTCTAACTTCCCTTCTACCACATATACAACTTTTCTATAATGCATCTCTCTTTTATACTCGTATTCTAATCTAACATAGATATTTCTTCCTTAATCAGCTGGACAATCTGTTTCTTCCTTGAAACTACCCGAGGTTTCTTTATTCCCATAAATGGTATATACTTGCCATGATTACGGCATAAAGTATCGTCTTTTTCAACTTTGTTCCCTCTATATTGTCTTTATTCTTTTTTCCATTTACCATTCATGATAGTCAGAGCTCTGGCCCTAAACCAAGTTCTGATTCTACTCATGAGGTTTATTGAGTAACAACAGGCAAAAAAAAGGTGTGTTATAGTTTCCTCTTCTTGGTTGCATAGACAGCAGCTGATTTTCTACACTCATATATTACACTGAATTAGTCAATCCTTTGTCCATAATTTATCTTTCCAGAACAACCAAGCTATGAATGAATGTTTTGGTACATTCAACCTGGACCATATCCACTTTGCTTTTTTTACTTTGGGCATATTACCAATTAACCAATAGTAATCTTCAAAAATACTATAATGGCCAGTTTTATTCATTTTCCATTTACTCCCTCAAATCCATTTTGGGCCATATCTCTGATTTTCAACAATTTTCTCCAGTGCCAACTATTATCTTACTTAACTTGCACAGCCCATATACTTTCTTGTTTCAAGTACAGATCATGGGTCCATTTAACCCTAAAATTATCTGTTTTTCTGAGCTAGCCACCATATTTGTTAGATCATTGCAGCATCATTCCAAACTCCGGCATTCGTAATTCCCAAACCACTTTCAATTTTATTGTGACATAACATTTCCCATCCCACCATAGCTACATACCATCCAGATTCCTTTACCACCAGAGGAACTCTCTACAATACATGTTAATCTGTTTTGTTACACTTCTTGGTAAGATACAGGCTGAAGCCCAGAAAACATGCAAATGCGTTAATACTGAATTAACTAATTGCGGTCTTGCAACCTAAGACAAATTTATGGTGCCCCAACATTAAATACACTTCACAATTTAATTAACCAGCATTTGAATTCCAGCTGAGTCCATTTTTTAGATTGTAGAGGTACGCCTAAATATTTCATAGGAAACAACCTATAATGAATCCTTCCCCTAACACTAGTTCAATGTCAGGATACTCATTGCTTTTCTTGCTTTTGGACTTGAAATATTTGCCACCTTTTATTGTTTAGGGTCATGTACATGTAAAAAAAAATAGACATGATGAGAAAGACCAAAATGTAGACAAAAACCATATATTTGAGACGTTTTGTTTCGGCTTAAGTTACATCGGTGAGAGGAGCAAAAGTCTCATTTTATAGGGAAGGTATGTTCTCATCTCATGGTATAAGGATGCCTTTTTCACTGGTATTAGATATCAGAAATTAGCCAAATTGGATATGTATTCTACAATTGGCTTTCAATAGACCTTCTAAACCAAATTTGCTTTAATCAAATTGTCTTTGTCATAAAATATAGCATCTGTCCCAAAATAATAGTTTCTTTTGTTACACTAATAGAAGGAGGGAGAGAGTACCTCACATCATTGTATCATCACCTGGCCAACAATTTAACTTAACCAGAAAGTCTCTAGGCTTTGTAATTGTGACAACAAGAGATGGCTATGTCAAGAATACTTTGCCCTCAAATTAACCGAATCGTCCAAAACCCTTCAAATCACAAATACAAAGAAGAGGCATCGTGATGAACTGTTGAGTGACTGCTAAACATATCCAACTATAAGCCAACTATTGAAATTAGAGATACGAGTTAAGAATGCAAATAGGAAGGAAATTGAGTATACAAATCGAACGAATACCAAGCATTTGAAATAGAAAAAACAAAATAAAGAAACGAGAAGGAACGGACAAAAAGCGGAATGAGGCACCTTATTTAGGGATTGTTGATGTGATGTGTGTGATATTTGTTGATGAAAGGTTGTACTCGGTTGATGTAGAAGAAATCTAGCCAGTGAATGTGAAAGTTGGATAATTAGATGAAAGGGTGGTATTGCTACCCAAGAGTCACTTTCTTGTATCACTCAGATGACAGTCGCAACGTTTGGACTGAAAGGAAGATTGTGGCCAGTGGAATGTAAAGCTTGGAATTGTAAGCAAAGGAAAGGAGAAACGTGACTCTCACATGGATCCAACCACAATTGGATTTTAACTTGATGTTATGGCAATATATATATATATATATATATATATATATATATTGGCATGGAAAAAAACCAAAAGAAAAAAGAACTGGGGAGTGCATGAGTAACACGCATTCACAGACAACTCTCTTATATCTTTGATGCCCAACCTGAGCTCCGCAAAGACATGCTTTACACCATGGGCATTAATGATGACGTGGAGGTGTACATTTGGGAGGTGACCGTCCGTGAAGAATGCGAAGCCCACGGTTTTGATCAGGTTCACAATCATGAGGCATGAAGCAGGAGATAAAGATTGCTGACGATGTGTATTGAAGAGATGTTGAAGAGAAGAATCTTATCACATTAACTGGTGAAAAATCTAATATCTAGAGGCCCATCCAGTCATGTTTTTGCACATTAATAGTTTGCAAAGTAGGAACTCCTTACTTTTCTCATTTTTCTCTCGTGTTGATGATTGTTGATGATAGTCTTTAGATCTTTAAAACAATTTTACTCTTTGAACATCAGTAAGAAAAACGTGGAAGTAGATTAATTGGGCCAAACAGTCTAATTAGAGCATGCAGGTAGGGGAGGGTTGCAGAACAGATTCTACATAATCTTTACGTCAGTAACCCCACTCAATCTAATCTAAGGGACGACTGTGGCTTTTATATAAATACTTAACAAGAGGTCTGATAATCGTAAATTTGATTTAGATCATATCCTTGTTTGATCATATATATTATTTGACAGTATAGAGGAAGAACAGGAGAGGTAGCACTTAAGCTTCACAATGAGAAGGGAGAATTAAAAATTATTCTTACAGTAGTCATTTCTAAAAGATTATATTTTACATGACTCTAAATTTTTAAAATTAACTAAGATGCTAAGGGGAATAGGTGCCTGGTCCTTAATTTAACACGTAATGATATTGCATCAACTTGAGCTAAAGATTTTTTTGACATATTATTGGGGTAGGTATTAAAGCCTAGCCTGAATGGTGAAATTGTTACTTTTTTTGTTTTTTGTTTTTCTAGAATTCAAATTAAGATGGGTAGGGGTAGACCTAAGAAAAACATGGAAGAAAACTATCAAAAATGATTTGAAATATTTAAATTTGACTGATGCTTTATGTACCGATCGAGCATGATGGCGACATATGATCCATATAGCCGACACCACGTAGTGAGAAAAAGGCTTCTTGTTGTTGTTGCTGCTGTAAAATCCAAGGTAGAATGTCTCGTCGATTTAAATGGTAGCTGATTTGTTGTGTAGGTTATTAATTTAGTTTTAATAAATATCAATTTTTCTGTGCTTTGTACATTACAGATTTTGCAGTGTATTATTTATGTTTCCCTATTCCTTACCTTATATCTCTTTTCCTATCTCATGCTTGTCAGGAAGTTTATAGTTCCTGGCGCCATGCTTTTCGTATGTATCTTTGGTCTTTGGTGATACAAGTCAAAAGATGTTGGGACAGGCTTAAGAATTGGTTGGCTGCCAATTTTCCTGAAGTATTGGGCACCGTACGTAATGGTGCATCTGAGGAAGAAATTAAGACTTTAGAGGTGACGTTACAAGTAAAACTGCCTCTTCCGGCAAGGGTTCTTTACCGTTTTTGTGATGGCCAAGGACTTGATGTTGATGACTCTAGTGGAAGTGTGGAAAAATCTTTGTTTGGTTTGATTGGAGGCTACTCATTCTATAGACACCTTGTAAATGTGTTTTTATTACCACCTCTGATAATTACATTTGGGGAATGCATTATGGGTTTGTCCAATGATTAAAGTCCTCAAATATGTTAATGTTTTTCTTTGGGTGATTTGTAAAGAAAATTTAAATAAATTTGATGTGGAAAAAATTAAAATTTTCTTTTCTTTTTTGTGGACATAAGTATATCTCTTGGATTTGGCAAATCTGAGAGTTTAATTAAAATTAAAAAAATTAGATTTTGAAAATCCGAATGTCCTAAATGTATTAAATTAATGAGAATTTTCAATTTAGAGAAAAACAATATGGTAGATGGTCAATATATGAACAGTAACTTCGGATTTGCCAAATCCGATTTCTTGAATAAAAAAATAAAAAGAACCAACGATTCTGTGCAGGAAATATTTGAAAGGACAATCAGATTTATGAAATCCAAGATTATGTAATATCGGATTTGGTAAATCTCTTCTAATTTACTTTTGGTTGGTGAAAGTAAGAACTTTCTGTAAACTAGAGGACCGAGTTTCAAAATTAGAAAATCTTAAAACAAAATAAAGTCAGATTTCATAAATTCGATACTACGTATGATCGGATTTTGCAAATCTGAGTTTTTAGAGTTTCAGATTTAGAAAATCTGACTCTATCGGGATATAAAAGAAAAGAGGCAGCAACTATTCACATTTCAGAATGTTGTGTTCGTGGAGGTTTTGGATGGCTTCTGGGGGTGATTTGGAGATCTTGGCCGCAAATTATCACTACATACTTTAGGAAATTTTAATCTAAAGAGGTTAGCCACTAACTCGATGTTATTTATTTGAATTTTTTTGTTATTAGTACTGTTTTTATGCAGAATAATGGTTTAAAGTTTAATTTTTGGTTTTGAGAAGTCTAAACGCGGGCTAGTTGGCTTACTTGTTGATTGTGATGTTATCTGTGACAAATTAGCATGGTCCATGCTATTTTATACTCCCTTCATTCTAAAATGTCTTGTTGAAGAGATTTCACAAATTTTAAGGAGGCATTAAATATCTTGTTGAAATACTGAATTGTCCTCGTTCCCAATAATATTTAGTTCTAATATTATTTTTTTTATCAATACAACTACAATTTCCCATGTAAGGGAAATATTGGAAAAAAATTGACAACATGCCTTGTTTTGTGAAAAATGACATGTTTTCAAAAATTTTGGTTTTTTCTCCAACGACATATATTTTAGAATAGAGGGAGTAATATATGGAAGATTATTTTAACGTGTTATGTTATCATTGACTCAATAAGTATCGTATGCAATGTAATAATCGAGTAATATGATGAATAATACTTGAAATAAATTGATCTTTCTGATAGTTATAATTTTTAGCAATGTTGGTCGTTTTATTTAGGAAATATTTAGATTTTGACGAGCATTGTTATTTTTCAATAAACAGTTACAAATGGTGTTTAATGGGTCATACATACTTAATTTATTATGACAAGTATGTGATGGAGAATGGTTGTGTTAACACATGTACAAACGTGTCAGATGACAACCTGTTTATTGAGTGTAGAGCATGTTGAGAAACAAATGTTGGATAGGAGATTTTAGGAGGCTCCAACCACAACAAGAGATTCCACTCCTCACTTTGAGAGGGTCACAAACCCAGCATGAGACTCCACTTCTCACTTAGGAGGGTCACGAACTCGAAAAGAGACTCCAGTTAAAGTATTTGTGCATAGGGGGTTCGAAGAAGTGCACAAAAATAATTGTGTAGACCCTGAATGTTAGACAAGAAGAATAACAATGATGTCTTTGAATTTCGGCAATTTTAAGATAGTTTGGTACTATTATAACTTACGATTTGTAATTTGATAGTTTTTAGAATCTTTCGACTATCGACTTTGATATGATGAAATGAATATCTTTTATGATTGTTATTGGTTGTTGCTTGGTGCTTATGTTGTTTGGTGTCGTTTTGATAAGTTTTGTACTGGTTATTAAACCAGTCAATATTTTTGTTTTCTCTGATAAACTTTCGAAATTACCAAATCTGAAAGAGCTACATTCAGTTTAGGAAATCCACAAGAGCTACAGTTGGATTTATGAAATTCGACCTTGGTCAAGCTACAAAATTTTATTAATTTTGAAATGGAGAAATTTCCGTTAAGATATCTAGAATTACAAAAGACTCTCACTAGATGATCAAGAGACATTTGTCAACGGTGCCTAGTGTTGACAAGTAGAGTAAAGATAAAGTGTCAAGAAGAGTAAAGATTTCGATATCAAGACACTTGTCATACGCTGGTCGTTTACAGCTAATCAATTCAATCTTTATGCATATGCACACATTTAGGCATCGGTATTCATGTCATCAAAGACTGTAATTGTAAGGTCCCTCAACTAACTTTCTGTTATATCCTTTAAATTAGTGAAAAGATAATTTGTTAGGTTTATAATAATAATAATAATAATAATAATAATAAACAAATAAACAATGATAAATAAAAGGGCTTGTATGTGATTAAGAGGAAAATAGAAAGAAAGAACGGTATATTTCTAACAAAAAAGGGACACCTCTTTGTTGAAGTAAAGAGATAAGAATTATGTGTCACTAATTTCATCAGATATAGATGAACTTTTTCCTTCCGCCACCTCCGCCCCCCCCCCCCAAGTACATTCAAGTACTTTTTATTCCTTTGCCATGAAGGAAATAGCCCCCTACTTCCCTGTTACCTTAACCAGTAGAATTCAGGAGTGGAAACACCAAAGAAATGTAAATATGGGATGAATTCCCTCCTGTTTTAGGGAATCAGTAGTAGATTTATTATAGCCAGATACAAAAATTATCAGAGAAGGGAATAGCCCAAGAAAATAAGGATTACTCAATCCTACAGCTAGTAAGTTAATTCTATTCCTTTTTAATACTAGATTTTAATTCGGTCATTGGAAGTTGTTGAAATGGGTTTGTTCCCTTTTGGCTGCATGCGCGTATGTTCTATTATTTTTGTTGTGTTCTGAAGGGAAAGGAAAAAATAAATAGGCGCCCGTGTGTTTATTATTGGGTCTTCTGATTCCGGAAAAGAAAAGGGGCTTTTATGTGCGTGTGTTGTATTTTTTTTTGTGTTCCGGAAAAAAAAAAAAAAGAAGATGCGTGTATGCGTGTGTCTTTTTGTTTTTTTTTTTTTTTTGGGGGGGGGTTGTTTTGTTTCTGGAAAAAGAAGAGGAAAAGGGGTTCGTGTGTGCGTGTGTGTTTGTGAAGGAGAAGATGAATAGTGCTGGGAAAATTGGGGTTTGGGTGTAAAGATAAAGAAATTTAGGATTGCTGGTTATATTGGGCAATAATGACTAAAAGGCCTTTTGTGTCTATTTTCTTTCGGGTGTGTTGCTGATTCTGGGCCACTTATATTTGTTGTCTTTACTTTTGTATTTGGGTTTGTGGAGTGTAAGGTTTCGGCTGGTTTTTGGGCCGAAAATTACCCCTGCACTCACTTAATATCTATTCATTTGGATTGGTGGGTCTTGGGTTTATGGGCTGGGCAAACCTTAATAAAGAAATAATGGAACTAACTTTGAATAGTATAAACCGGGTAAAAAAAGGGAAAAATTATTCTACACAACAAATGTATCCCTTTTTAGTGCAACAACATGTCTATTATATTAGAAAATATCATGACCTCCTTAATTTTATGATAACTTTCCCGATAAAATTACAGTTTTACCCTATTTATGTGTCTGGCTGCACAATCCTACGTAGTTGCAACTATATAGAAGATTTTCTCAAAAAAAGGGGCATAAGGGTGCTTGTTTACGTTCTTTTCTTCATTTTTCCTTCATAACGTGAACGTAGTATTTTCTTTTGTCTGGAAAAAAATTATTTTTAATTTAAATGTTTTACAGATCACCTATCGGAGCTTGATTGTAGACAGGAAATCTAAGTGAGTGTTTCACTATTTTTGATATTATATGCTCGAATGCTCTGGGGTATACTTTATCACTCCGAAAAATGTGTTTATGTGATATTCTTAAAGTAAACTGTGTTCTATAAAAGTGAAGTGGATCCACGCCCTTTCTAAGAATTCGCAACCGACGGGCTAGCAAAGGGCTTGGTCGCCGGCTAGATGAATTAGAAAAAAGTGAAGGTAATCTGCAGATTTACCGAAGTGATTGGCCATAGTGTTTGGGTGTTGTTGACGGTTTGCAAGGATTAAAGGTTGAAGCTGCCGTATCCTTTTAATGTGTGGTGTTTATTTAATGTGCTAAACTCTTGTTATCCTATGATTTTTGTTAAATCGTTTTATTAGTTGCTTTTTTTTTTTTAAGTGAAACCTCATTGGGCGTTAGCTCATTTCGTGTGTTTTTTTTTGTTTTCCTTAGGGTGATGGTGATCAAGTTATTTGTTTGTTGTTTATAGAGTGAGGTTCTACGTTGTTGAGAGGACTCTTTTTTGTTAATAGAATAAAAGAAAGTCATGTTCCTGTATTAGAAGCAGGCTTGGTATTTTATGAATAAAAATTTCTTTACTTATATTTTATCGCTCTTGATAAATGACTGTTAGTAAGTCCCGATGCGAGTCTGGAAGACGCCTTAGCTCGGCTACTCCACTTATAACGGGAGAAGTCCTATTTGGGGCGTCACAGTAATCATTGATGTGAATAAAATTTGTAGAAGCTTTTTTAGGGTTAAAAAGATTCCGGTCAATCTATTTCTTTAGTTGCTTGTAATGAATCGTGTAGAAGTAAAAGAGCGGGTGAATTGAATATTCAAGACTCGGTGGTGTAGAATGAAGAAACAATAGATAATCAACTATGGGAATCAACTAACGATGGACAACTTATGAGTTAAATGGATACGCGATGTTTATTTGAAGAAATATGACATTTGTAGTGTACAAATGAAAGAGGAGTCCAGTGGTTACTAGAAAAATTTGGTGAAAATGAGGGACAAAATGCAAGAGGGATTTGTTCTTGGGAAATTTAGGTACTATAATTGAGGATTACTGCTTAATAGTTTTATATATGTGGTTCCAAGGTATCCAACAGGCTAATCATATTCCTAAAATAATATAAAACAATGTTATTTTTTTCTATTAAACACTTTTAC